GTACATAAAGTCACTGTAGGCGGTGTATTGTATTGTTTTAATCGTTTTTTAAATCAGCATATTTCTCTCTCATTGTTGTATCTTAATAAAACATATATAAAATATTTTGTTTTCTTTCACACAGGAATGTGGAAGCCACCGTCGCATACTTTTGATGCTGGCTTTCGGTCGCGCAAAATGCACTCGCTTTTGAGTTTGAGTGAGAATTGCGATAATCATAGTCGTGCAGAAATAGCAGATTTTTCGGCGAGTTTGTGGAATGCAAGCACAATCATTTTATTAGCTTTCACTCAGCGTCTAATTTCTTACTCCGCCCCGCTTTCCCCTCTCAGCCCCACCAATTCATTTATCCCTCTCTCCAGTTTATAACTCCAAGAGAGGATTCAGCTTCTTTTCAGCCAGTTTCCTTCCAGTCCGTTGTTAGTTCCGGTAGCGTAAACCAACTTTGCCCCCCTCCCCACTTACCTCAACCTGTGCCTGTCATCCCACGGTGTCCAAATAAGCAGTCGGATGGCCGGATGAGCGACACAGGGAATATCATTCCAGCGCGAGAAAGTAAAATCGGATGGCTTGAACATGTTGACGAATGTCCCTCATTGAAGAGTGGTACTCGTGACAAATTAAAGGAACACGCAAATGTGTATCCTTCGAAGTGATAGCCTGGGTGTCACAAATGGAGCACCTTGACGAAAATAGCTGTGGACCAGGAAGGAATGGAACTTCTCCGCATTCGGACGCAACGTTCTACCCACTTCACCACTGGCGTTTCTCCCACGGAATCAACCTGGCAGCACAGTTACTGTGTATTTGATTAGCAATGCAAAATATGTCTTTGTTTTCTTGCTACAGGTGGTAGGCAGTGTGTCGTCCTCTTTGTCGCAGTTGGGGTGAAAACACAAGTTTCTCCTTTCCGACCTTGACTTTTCTGGAGTCTCCTACCGTTATTATGCTTAACCGCAATTGTTTTTGTCAGCTAGAGATAACATAGGTACATTTATACGATAGCAAATAACATTAAGAAAAAAATGGTGGAAGGTAAGGTCTGATTTTGGTAGACAGCGTGCTGATGTTGGTAGATGGTGTCTGGTCGGTGTGCTGATGTTGGTAGACGGCGTCTGGTCGGTGTGCTGATGTTGGTAGACGGCGTCTGGTCGGTGTGATGATGTTGATAGACGGCGCCTGGTCGGTGTAGAAACAAATGTTAACACCAAAAATTTGCTGGAAAAATGGGCTGCCAAGCCCATCTGGAGCTCCGCCTCGCTCCAGCTGGATCCAGCTTACAAAAAGAGCTGAATATATGATTGATGTTGGTGGCGCTGTTTGACAGCGGCACCGTTATTACAAAGGAATTTACGGTACTGCAAAACACAAAATCATGTAATTTATGTCTTTTCCGTTTGCTTTGTTTGCTGTTTCCATTCGAGGCGCTTTTCCTCGACAGCCGTTTTTGTTCAGTCGGGACTTCAAATTTCACTTTGGGATAGCTGGTCCTCGAACAAAATGTCGAGGAATGGAAATTTCCAAACTGTCTCTTCTTTTGCCGGATTTTCGCAAATTTTTCGTGAAAATGTATGCATGGTACAGGCGAAGAGCATAACCGATCGCAGGCGGAAAGCCAGCGCCTGATTTTAGCATACACCCCAGTGTCAGGATTTCCTTTCCAGCGAATCTGCAAAAAAGGACCGAATATTTTTGCGATTTTGGCTATTTCAAGTGGAAAGGTTTTTTCATGTCTTCTACTTTCATTTTTTTTCTAACTCACACTTTGGGGGCCCTATTGGTCGCGTGAAGTGAGAGAATTGGTTTGTGTATTGCTACGGATTCAGATAGTAAAATGAATTATCAATACGGGTATCAGAAATGGGATTCCAAGAATATAACAATGAAGAAATTCGGGTATTTCTGCAACGAACCTCCGCCAAGGTTTGGTGAAATCGATCGTGGTATGCAGGTTTGTGATGCTTCTTATGCAGTGATTTCCAGCAG